GAAAAAAGGAGGTAACGCAACTAGTTATTTCTTCTCTTGCTTCTAATCATAGTCACTTCTCTTTACTTTTAGCTCACTCTTTCTCTCTCGCATTGAGACCAAAAACACAAAAATGCTCATCAACAAAACCAGACGACTATCCGACCTTGTGCAATCGGAGTGATGATTATAACATGTTTGTAAAAAAGGGGAGATAGGGTCATCAAACCTTGATGGCCAAAAGCTGAAGTTACTTTTTGTTGTCCGAATTACCTTGAGCCATCATTGCTGGTTTCGTACGTAAGCGAACACAAACAGGCACATATACATACACATACAGAGGCATACACACTCACAAGCTTCGATTAATGAAAGCATAACACATGTTCCCGTTGTCTCGGAAACAGCGTCAACAATAATGTTTCATTAAATTCAATCTACATCTAGTCAAGTGGAATCCGACGTCACTTCACCAAATACTTTCACTCGAAATGGGCATAAGTTAAACAACGATGAAAGAAGAGGTTCTTCGAAGTCGAACCTTTATTCACATATAAAGTGATTTGATTTGTTCAAGTTATATGACAACCTCGAAGCATGTGAATATGTGTGTGTGTGCGTGTGTGGTTTTATGTGCATTCCGGTGCTCGTGTATGTTCGAATCCAACAGTAATAGCTGAAAGTTTTCATACAGATTCTGGCTATAATCATGTCTGTCATGGCGGTACAGACAAAATTTTCGTAGGTGTTCATCGGTCTCGTAGGATGTTGCACAATCCAATAGTCTTCAAAGCAATCCTTCCTCGGCTTCCGGTGCGTCAATTTTACTAATTCCTTCAGACCAACTGGCTTCCTCTCCATCCGACTCGATCGCTCCGAGCCGACTTAAACCCTCTCAACGCCTCAGCAACACTTCAACCCAATCGGTCGGTATCGGCAGACGAGGCAAGACCAAAATCCACCCGAGCACAGACCTCCAGCTCAACTGGAACTTGCTTATGCAAGGCCTATTGCGGTGGTATCAAACATGAGGTGATGCCGAAAATGCAGCCCAGCATGGATACATCGTTGCTAGAATCGCTGTCAATTTCTGTACTACCTCGTGACCCCAGATGAGATGTTCAATCTTATTAACTTCAATGTTAGCATAAGGAGGACAACGATGCCGGTTTGGCCATTCGATTATTTGAGGAAACAGTGTCTCTCAAAAGAAATCGACAATTTCAACCATATCCAAGCAACTTCTTATTCCCGTTCGACATAAGGATATCCTAAATATAGTCATTTTGAGAAGTCATTTGGTTGGTCAAGGTCATGTACCAATCTAGATGCATGTACGTGTGTATGATTTTGGGTGCTTGTGTGCCAAACGTAATAGCGATCAAGCTAGTTTGAGCAGATTTAGGAGCTATAAATGTATGTTCTGCTCAAACTTACGTTAGCAAATACTGGTTGCTTGTGGGAAAATTTATTACTTTGAAAGGTAAATATGGTGAATATAGCTCTTATATAAGATTTACTGGTCACTTTAAAAGCCTACTTATTGAACAATAAATCAGTAATATGAAATGTATTCACCCAATTTTAGTTTAAGGTGATGAAGGACTGGTAGAAGAAGAATTTTCCCACAATGATATGAGCTGAGCTGAAGTATCCATTGAATTTCACATAGCCTTGCTTACCAAAAAGTTGTTCTCATTCTTCATCACCTTAAACGAAATTGTGTGAATACATTTCATATTACTGATTTACTGGTAGTCACGAAAACAATACTTAATTCGAAAAATAAATAAGTAGTATAGTTGATTGCTATAGCAAATTTAGCTTTTGACAGTTCGATGTATTGGTTCACGTGTAGGCACAAAATGCTGAACTACCAGAACCCGGGTTCGAGTCCCACTTTGGGTGCTGACTAAGCTGGTTCAGGTGAGGTGGAAACTGACATCCTCTCCAGCCATCAAAGCTATGAAATTTAGTGTAAGTGTAATGGG